GTGGAAGAGACTTCTGTTAGTCAATTACATGTGTCAGATGTCTTCAATATTACATCATTAATACTAGGGTCCTCAGTAAGCCTCTTATAGGTCCTGTAGGTCACAATGTAGATACTGTATGTGTCAAGTCCTCAGGGAGTTAGTGGCCTAAAGGAGTATATTATATCTGCCAGAGGTTTAAGGTAGAATATTAAATGCTCCTGACTCTTCAGTGAGGCTATTAACTGAGTCAGTGGATTCAGCATTGATACTTCATTGCTGTAAGAGGCCTCAGTGAGGACACTATTAGGGTCACAGACCTCATTGAGTCAGAAGTCTTAGTGACAATGGAGGATATGTCAGAGGTCTGAGAATATCATATGCATGTGAATCTTCAGAGATAATATTTTGTGTGTCAGAGGCCTCAGCAAGTATATGGGCTACAGGCCTCAGTGTTGATATTACATGAGCATCAGAAGCCTGAAGGAGGAGGCATTGAATGTGCCCTGAGGGAGGACATTCAAAATGTGTCTGAGGCCTAGCTGAGGATAGTTTGCTTTTTGAAGGGCTAAGAGAAAATATTGTTTGTCAGAGGCCCCAGGGCAGATACCAGGTGTTAGAGGCCTTAGTGTGGGTAGGTGTGAGAACCCTGAATGAAGATATCATTTATTTCAGAAGCCTCAGTGAGACTACAATGTTATTATCACAGGACTCAGTGAATATACTAGATTAGTGTCAGAGGACAAGAAAGGACTTTCTATACATCAGAATCCTCTTGGAGTTTATTATATGGATTTCAAAGACCTCAGGAAAGATATTATGTAATTCTTGGAGCTGTGAGTGGGGACATTTTAAGTTTCAGAGTCCTCAGGAAGTTGATTAGGGGTGAATGTACCTTCAGTGTGATTGTATATGAATGTCAGATGCCTCAGTGATTATGGGATATGAATGTCAGAGGAGGCATGGAGGATATCCTATCAGGGTAAGAGACACCCAGGAGAATTCTATATAAATAGCATAGCCCAAATGAGGACATTGCAGGGGTCAGAGTCCAGTGTACCTATAATAAGAATAGGAGGCCTCTGTAATCCTATCATATACCTTAGAATCTTCATGTGGATATTTACTGTCAGAGTCCAGAGCAAGGCTATGAACTGATAATCAGAAGCCTCAGTGAAAAATCATACATGTGATCCAGGACTCTGTGAAAATATTATGTCTAATCAGAGGCCTCAGTGAGAATGGGTCAGAGTCTTCATTGAGCTTACTCCATGATTGCCACAGGACACAGTTAGGACATGTTCTGTGTTCAGGGCCTCAGTAAGTTGATAATATGCATCTGAGGACTCAGTGTGAATAATATATGTGAGAGAACCCACAGTCACACTAATATATGATGTAAACATCCTTAGTAAGGAAAATATTTGATTGGAATAGACCTTGTTGAAGGCATTGCATATGTTTGACATCTTGGTATGTATAATCTATGGCTTAAATGTCTCATGAAGGAAATCCTATGTGTCTGAGGCCTCACAGAAAATATTATGGAAGTGCCAGGCTACTCAGTAAGAACATTGCATGTGTTAGAGTCCTCAATGAAGAGATTATACCACTGTCACATCCCTCAATAGGATATTACAGTGTGGAATGCCTCAGCATTTGTACAGCTTGGGTAAGAGTCCTCTGTGGAGTTATTGTCTGTGTCAGAGACTTCAAGGGAATACTTAAAAGTGTCATAAGGATCTGTGTTGATAGGAAGGTACTTACAGAGTCTTCAGTGATTTTTTTAATATTTTAGACAACAGGGGTCTTTGTCAGTGAGGCTCTTAGGTGTGCCTGAGCTCTTGCTGATATATACACTGATGGCCAAGAGGATTGAGGATATTTTTTGAGTCCCACAAGTCTCTATGTATAAGTTGTGTAACTGTCAGAGGAACAAGCGAGGAGAGGATATGAGTGATAGAGATCAGAGTAAAGATATTGTACACTTAAGAATCCTCAATAAATAGAATAGGAGTGTTTATGGACTCAGTGAGATAATCAAGAAATGCCAGAGACCTCAGTGAGCATCTGATGTGTCAGAGAAGGACTCACTAAGGATATTACATGAGTGTCAGAGACCTCCATAAGAATGTTTCTTAAGTGCCAAAGCCCTGAGTCATGACATATATGTGCTGTAATAAGAAGTGGACTCTGTTAGCATATTATATGTGAAAGTTCTTTGAGGAGCAAAAGCCTGAGTGAGAATAATATATTTGTTAGGGGACATACTGAAGATATTCTTTCAAGGTCAGAGGCCCCAGTGAGGATGTGATATGTGTCAGACTTCACTGAGTTTATTTTGTTATCACCACAGGCCTCAATTACTATTTTATATGACTGTGAGGTGAAGAAAACTTCTGAATATTAGAGGACTTCCTGAGGATTTTGTCCTCATTGAATATATTTTAGGGCTCAGAGTTCTCAGTGAGGAAATTCTATGTGTCAGAGGCCTCCTTGAGAATAATGATGGCAGTGCCAGTGTACCCAGTGAGGACCTTGTATGTGATGAAGTTTTCAGGGTAGAAAGAATATCAGTGTGAAAGGCCTCAGTGAGATTATGAAATGAACACCACAGGCCCTCGTGATGATCTAATATGTGTAAGAGGCCTCACTGAGAATAGAATCTCTCTCAGAGGTCAGTGAGGAAAATACAGGCTCAAATGACTCATTCCATACTGTACATAGGATGGAATCCTCAGTAGAGATTTTGTATGTGTTAGAGACCTCAATGAGACATATATTTCTCTGAGGACTCATTGTACCTCATGTTACCTACAGAGGCCTCAGTACTTCTGGATGACTCTCAGAGGGTCTAAATCTGTGTGGACTTCTGGTGCCCCACAGCACTCAGTGTGATATTCCTTGAGTGTAAGAAGCCTTGATTAGGATATTTCTGAATGACAGAAGCCTCAGGGTGGATATTATATTGGTCTCACTGTCCTGTATGAGGATTATATCCATTTCAGAGTCCTCAGTAAGAATATCATTAGTGTTTTGGGACTCAAATGAGATAGGGTGTGAATGTCAGAGGCCTCAGGGAGGATTCATGTTGGCATTAGAGGAAGACTCACTGAGGATGTTATTTGAGTGTTAAAAACCTTTCTGAGGCTTTTATAGAGGCTTCATATAGATATTAAGTGTCAGAGTTCAGTGCCAGGCTATTACCAGAGTATATGAGGCTTCACCAACCCATCCCCTTGAATGGGATCAAGGTCACAGTACAGATATCCTGTTCATGGCAGTGGCCTCAATGACAATATGTGGAAGATTCTTCAGTGACAATATAATGTGTTTATTACAGGTTTCACATTTGACATCATATTTTGTAGAGTCGGCAGTAAACTTACTATACTTGTCAGAGGCTTCAGTTTTCTCCTATAGAAAGGGACCTCTGTGAGTACATGATGGCAGTACCAGAGGCATCAAGAAGGCATTCTAAGTGGAAGAGACCTCTGTTATTTAATTATACATCTCAGATGTCTCCAATACTTTATTGTTAGTATTAGAGACCTCAGTATGACTCATAGATACTGTAGGTGTCAATGTAGATATTAAATATTTCAAAGACCTCAGGAAGTTAGAGGCCTCGGGGAGTATATTATACCTCTCAGATGGTTCAGGGAGTAGTTTAAATGCACCAGCCACCTCAGCAAGTCTATTCCTAAGTCAGATGTCTCAGTACCAGTACTTCATTATTGTCAACAGCTTCAGTGAAGATACCATTAGGGTCACATGCCTCAGTGAGAATACTGAATGCATTTGAATCTTTAGTGAAAATGTGACTTGTGTCAAAGGATTTATGATATCATATGTTTTAGAACCTTCTCTGAGAATATTATAGTTGTCAAAAGAGTCAGTCAGTAATATATTATATGTCAGAGCCCTCAGTGAAGACTGTGTCTTTTTAAATAGTTTCATGTGTTTAGTGAGAGCTCTGAATAAAAATATTATTGTGTTTCAGAGGCCTCAATGTGGTGTTTCTTGTTTGTCACAGGCTCTCATGGATATTTTTTGACTGACACAGGCCTCAATAATGATATTGAGCATGTTAGAAACCTCTGTGAGGATATTATATGTCAGAGCCCTCATTGATTATATGTGTAGAGGACTCATTGAAAATATTATAGGTGTCAAAGAACTTAGTTTTTATGTGAGTTTTAAAGATCTTATTGAGAATATTTTTATGTGACATAGGCTTCCACAAGGATTTCATATATGTGTCAAATGCCTCAATGAAGATATTATATTTTTCCTAGTTCTCTGTGAGGATATCTTATGAGTGTGAAGGTTTGACATGTTATTTTCTAGGGGTCTCAATGTGTATGGGATATCAGCCAGTGGTATCATTAATGATATTTATTGATAACAAACTCATATTATTTCAGTGCATACAATATATGTTAGAGTCTTCATAAGGATATTATATTGTATTTGAAGCCTCAGTGAAATGTTTTTAAATGTAAAAGGCCTAATTGAGGGTATTATACTATTCTTTCCTGTTAAAAGAAAACAGGAAACAAATGGTCAAAGCTATTCCCAAAGGCTTCAAGCAGGAATGAAGTAAGCAACAAAGTACTATAGAGTTGGATAACAAACAAAATCTTGGAGTAAATATCCAGATGCTCACTTATTTACAAATAAATGACTAAACAGATAAACAAAAGAGGCTAAATAAAAACCTATTATGCAGAATTTCAAGTAATTGAGGTGGACATTTGGCCCTCAAAGAGTTAGGCCTGACTTCCCACTCCTTAAGAGGGGGCTCTGCATAGTGACTTACTCCAAAACAATATATATATATAATGTGTACATGTAGAGAAACATAACTTCACAGTGAGAAATCTGGCAAACACTACATCAGTCAGGTGAGCACCTTGAGGATATGAAATGAAGAATAGCACTTCATCTGTAATCTGCTTTCCCCAATCCATTACCTGTCTACATATGAGAAAAACATCAACTGAAAATCTAAAAAGTACCTGATAGGTACTCCTCAACTGTCAAGTCCTCCTCAAACATCAAGGGCATCAGAGAAAGGAAGGTCAGAGAAACTGTCGCTACGAAGAAAAGCCTATGGAGAAAGGATGACAGTCTTGCGGGATCTTGGATGGGGTCCTGGAACTGAAAGAGTCTGTACTGAGAATTCAAAGGAAACACAGACATTAGTTAATAAGAGCATATCAGTATCTGTTTGTCATGAAAAATCATGTATGAAGTTAACATATCTGAGATAGCTCACATAAGTCATAAGAGAAAAAAAACTGGGTAGAAGTTACATAATAGATCTCTGCATTTTCTTTGCAATTTCTGTGTAAACATAAAACTGCTCTAAAATTAAATCTTAAGACATGGCTATATTTTTCAAACACCTGCTCATTTAATTACTCAGAATGTCAATTACTAATAATTGACATTCTTAACTAGTTCTGCATTTTGTTAAGAGCATTTATAACAAAAATGTGTCAAACTAACATAATATAAGATAAATACTTATTTTATATGTTTTATGTTAAAGTAATAATATGTTTAAACTTATTTATCATTATTTATTTTGCTATTGCTAGGTTCTGGATTTTCTCTAAAAAAAATTCAAAACTTTAGAGAAAAACATCTACGTTTTAGAGACACTATTTCAAGTCATGGTTGAACTTTTTCAAAAGAGACATGATAAAAAATATGTTACAAGAGCAGATTGATTCATTGTGAATGAATCATTGATGCCAAGGAAGTCTTATCTTTTATTTGTTTCTATGTATACCCTTCAACAGTAATAGCATCAAATATTTGCCACTAGGAAAAATATTTAAATGAAAAATGTAAACAGAATTTGTGACAATAACTTATGATGCTTTCTAAAAAAAGAAAAATTTAAAAGAATACCAAAGTCAGTTTCCTCCATGATGTTCTTCAGAAGTGTTAAAACTAGAGAAACATCAATGGAAGCACGGTTTATGAGTGATATTAGATATTCTCATGTTTTACAGGGAAATCATATTTTAGAAATCATAAAAATATTGGATGCGCAAACTCTTGAATGTTTTCAAATGTAGTTTCTTTTTTCAAATGTAGTAAGTTTCTCATTGATATAGCTAGTCATAAAGCTAATACAAACAAAGAATCAATGGGGCTGGGATGTAGCTCAGTGGTGGCATACCTTATCCAGAATTCAGGAGGCCCTGGGTTTGATCCCTAGCACCACAATTTTTTTTTTTTAAATCAGTGCCTTATTTGTGTAGTCAAATAGAAAGTGAACAATCACCACTCTTAGGAAAATGTTAAGCCTGAAAAACAGTTAAGAATCAAAATACTCTTACAATAGAAATAGCCTATTGTGACCAGATGTGTCATATCATAAAGTACATTCAAATTAAACTATCAAAATATCAGAATCAAAATACTCTTACAATAGAAATAGCCTATTGTGAGCAGATGTGTCACATCATAAAGTATATTAATATTAAATATCCTCTCAGAACAATAAAAAAGACTTTGATTACCATTTAGAAGGAGAAAATGGCTATAATATAGATTAGAAAATTATTAAGAAATTATAAACATGAGGTGAGGGGCTGTGGGCACGGAGAGCGGGTGGCCCAGGCTTGGCGGGTGGAAGGGTTCCTCCTGCAGGGTTTGTGGAGTGAGCCGGGTGCACAGGGGTGGTTGTGTTGTGACCCCACTGGCTGTCTGTCTATCTTGAGGAAGAGCTGAGTGGGCGGGAAGGATGGAGGACCAAGGGTAGTTGTCGTGGAGGTGATCTGGGTGAAACAAAATATTTTCCAAAAGTTATAAGTTTCTGTTGAACTACTATATTTCACGTTTCTCAGCCTTAACTTCTGTAAAAATCATGTTATATTGAATAAAAGGCAATTTTTAATAAATACAGAATCTCACTTTGAAAAAGGTACAGATGGACAAATGTTTTTATCTTGTGGTTTTCCTGTTTATTCATGTTAAACAGTATGTAGAATCAAATCCATAAAAATGGAAGCTGTTTGAATCAGACCATCCTGATTCTAAGGTAACACAGAAGATCAGCTTTCTTTAAAATGGACAGAGAACTGGTATATGTGTGCTTTTTGTTTTTCTCTGGTGGGGAATTAATATGAATTATCAAGTTTTCAAAGGTTTCCATTTGTGGTCGTTAAAAAAAACATAGCTGTAATTTTGTGAACCTCATGCCAATAGCAGTGGGATTTGCCTCCACCTCTGATGTGGAGCTGTCCTGGTCAACTGCCTTGACTTTTATAAGATGTGAAAGGAGCTATGTGGGGCAGTTTCAGAATCTAGACCTCACCAGCTTTCAGAGCTTTTCACAACCTCCTCCCCTTCTGCCCCCAGCCCTTGAGGAACTCTGGACCCCCAGGAAGAGAAGAAGACCCAGTACCGAATTTTAGGGTCTCTCAGCTGCTAAACTACACATGCAGTGCCCTCCCCCCTCCCCAGGGAAGCTGCATGAGGAAGCCCAATAGGCATCAGAGCAACCAGTTGGACACAGCATGGTGAGAAGTATAGGTAAGGGTTGTTTTCAGCCACAAAGTTTCAGGTTAAGGGATTCAGTGCAGCCACAGAGTCCAAAAATCTAATCCTCCACCAAAAGCTGGTACAAAAAAATTAGTCATCTTTCAAAAACTCCACTTAAGCACATCCTTCTTTACAAACTGCTATATACAAAGAGATTCTGTACCAACATTTTAATGATCTTTTTCTATTCAATGTGTCAAAAGGAGGTAATATCACATTCATCATTTTCAGAAAAATGCATTAGAGAATAATATTAATAGAAAAGATTATTTTTATACTTTGAAAATTTGTAATTAATTTCTCCTATTCAAAATTATACTTGTATTTTTATTTTTAAATAAATTAAAATTTACAGTACTTTTATCAGTGTAAGAGCTCCAAGGCTTCAACCTATCTTCAATTTCTCAGGGACAGGCAGCCAATTCTGCAGGTGATATTTCATCCATTGTATTGTTATCTGATTTTTTCTTTTTCTTGAGAATTTTTTTTCTCCTTGGCTTAGAGGAGTGAGAAAATCTATTGGGGTAAAATTCACCTAGACTAATGTGAGAAATGAAGCACACATGTGGAAATCTAGGCTCTAGCTTGAGAAACAAAATCATTGTGACAGATAGTTTTGTTTTAGCACAAAAATTTCATCCTTAGAGTTTAGATTTTTTTCACTTTATTTTATTTGTGTGTATATATATATATATATATATATATATATATACACACATACACATATATTTTTTTAATGAGGTGCAGGGGATCAAACCCAGTGCTTCATATGTGCTAGGCAAGTGCTTTACAACTGAGCTGCAACTCCAACCTCTAAAATTTAGAATTTTTCAATGAACGAAGCAGAGTTACTTGATAAATCTCAAATTAAAGGCAAACATTCTTGCCATAGGCTAAAAATAAGTAATATTCATTTACCTCTTTGAAATCATTGATTTTTCTCAGGTAGAATTTTCCCCAAGTATCTGAAAGTCCAAAAGGAACCTTGCTACCTGTCCTACTGCCTTTCTCACTAGCAGAGCCCCACCTGGCCTGGCTGTCTGGAACTCCTTCCCCAGGATGCACTTCAGGATGGACAATTTGGGGAATCATATGCATGCACCACAATCTGGTTCCTCGGCCTCCCACTGTCTTTTTCTGGACAGTCCCCAGCCTGGCTTCCTCTGGCTCTCTGCTTCCCTATTTTTGCTCCATCATGCTGAGCTACATAGAATGGCAGAAGAAAGACATCAGGGTGGTTTCTGATGGCTTTGTACACTATATAAACTAGGCCTCCCTAACTTTTTGTTGCCCAAAAGAAACACCCCCTCATGATCAAACCATTGTTTGGGGGCTTTGTTACCCATACTCAACATAACCTCTAACTATGTTCCCAACCTGATGCCCTCTAGTCCCTGAGAAGTTCATCACAGTCATTTGAATAATGTCAACTGAAATTGTGCAGTACCCAGCCTGTGCAGTTGTCTGTGGTGACCCTACACTGTCCTCAAACCATGAAGCATGAAAGTTTACAGTTGTAGTGTTATGGGAACACTAAAAAATTTCAGATGTGGAACATTTTGGACTTCAGATTTCTGGATTCAGGATGCTCAGCATATGTATGGACCGTGAAGCTGTTTATTGTTTCCATTTGACAGTGTTTAACTTACTTACTACTATTTCACAAGCCCCACACACAAAGCCTCAGAACATCACTGGCCTTGTCAGCCCCTATATTTCTGGGGTTCCTGGGGGCTCAGCTGGACAATTTTTCCCCTGATCTCTCTTGGGGTTCTTCATAAAGTTACTGCTCATGGTGGTGGAGGCTGGAATTATCCCAAGACCCACTGGGATGTGGGCTGACTGGGCCTCTCCCTATCTCTGGGATGGCCTTTTGGGGCCACTCTGCCCTGCTTATGAAGGGGGTGGGGCAGACCTTTGGTTGATGGTTCTAAGAGGGAGCAGCCCAAGGCAGGGCCTGAAGCTGCTGTCCTCCTCTCATGGAAGCCTGAGTTGAGTGTAGGAATCTACACACGTGCTTCTCAGAGAATAATTGCAGGGTGGCATTTCCAGTGTTCCTGGCACAGCAATCAATTCTGCCAAGGCACTGTGCTGCTTAGTTAAGTCACGGGGCAGAGAGTACAGTGAGCTCTTCAACCAACTTGGTCCAGACTTGTGATATTGCTTACACCCTTCTGTCAGAATGACTTTCTTTCTTTCTTTCTTTCTTTCTTTCTTTCTTTCTTTCTTTCTTTCTTTCTTTCTTTCTTTCTTTCTTTCTTTTTTTCTTTTTTTTTCAGAAAGGGCTTAATCAAAATTAAATTTAAAAAAAAGAAATTTTAACTCCCCAAAGGAAGGATTATGAATTAGGCCAACTGACAGTGCTAAGAAATATGGGAACCTAGAAGAAACTGACCAGTAAAAAATGTACACGTTACACAAGGGGACCTTGTAACATCCAGCCTAACTCAGACAAGGTGAAAGGAAACATTCAGAGAAACTGAGGACCCTGCATGCGACTCTTGGTGCTGCTGGGTCCTAGGCCCCAACTGAGCCATCACCACAGGGAAATGTGACAGTACCCTTCCACCTTTGTGGGATGGAAAACATGGTCTCCCAGGAGCCTCTGTGACCTTAGGAAAATGTCTCACCCCACAGACGCTGCCTTCCAATTTATTTTTGCATTTTCCAGAACATTTTAATAATTTCCAAATTATCTGATCGACCTTCTTGAGGCCAACAGTGCTAAGGCATGCCTGTTGAGCAAGTTACTGAGACTTGGGAAAAGGAAAGAAGGAGGTATGGTTTTAGAAGAGCAGAGACTGAGGACAAAAATAATCCTTTTTATTTTCTTGGGAACTTGTCAAGTTAATAATAAATTATGCACAAAAAGTGAGTAATTTATCTGATTCACAGAAATCAGAGAATTCATAGTGGAAATAATAAATTA